GAACGTGAGTGGGTAAATGGGGCCGGCGTGTGGAAGCAATGGCCAAACCCCCTTCCAAGATAAGCACGTTCCCTGCAGGCACCCTGCAGGGGGCTGTCACAGTAGCTGGTGGGAAGGTGGTGGGGAAAAGACCTTCTTTGTGTTACCAATCTCTTTTTGTGGCACGGTGCAAATTCAGCAATAGGGATTGTTAAAGTTTAAAATTGCACACGTTTTTGGATCAGGGCAATTCCCCTAATAGTTGATTTACAATCACGATGGCAAACTCAAGGATATTTGGCCATCACAACATGTTTGTAGTGGCAGGGAAGCAGAAATGACCCTTGGAATGTCCTCACAGGGACCCTGGCCGGTAACGAAGGGGCAACATCCAAAAGATGGAATAGTATGTAGCTGTTTACATCTCTAGGTACAATATGGAACAAGATCCAGGGGATAATAGAAAAATAAAAAAAGCAAGCTGGCAGGAAAGCAGGTGGTAGTTTCACAAGCTGTAAAACTTATGGTCTGAGGTTTATGGGATGGCAAGGGAGGATGTCTTTTGTTCATAATTCTGTTTCAATTTAAATTTAGTCTGTATTTACTACCTTTCAGAAAAGTATTTTAAAAAAGGTCATACAAGTTTTTTTTTTTTTTTTTTCCCAAATGAAATTAACTTGAAATCTGAGATTTACAATAGGCAAAAAGGTGGCCTCTGTTGAACACTGGGTGGAGGCCCAAGGTTTCCTACCACCCTATTTCCTTCCTCCCCTCCCTACAGGCTCCCAAGGAGGGGGGATATCTTGGAAATTCCATTCATTTGTCCACTGGACTTTCTTTTTTTTTTTTGAGACGGAGTCCGCGCTGTGTCACCCAGGGCTTTGGAAGTGGCAGTGGCGCGTATCTCATCACTGGCAAGCTCGGGCCTCCCCAGGTCACCGCCCATTTCTCCCTGGCCCTCCAGCTCCGAGTTTAGCTGGCATACAGGGCGGGCGCCCCGGACCCGCTTAGGTTTTTTATTTTAGTAGGAGACGGTTTTCACAATGTTAGCCGATGGTTCTCGGATCTCCTTGGACCTCGTTTGCACCCGCTCGGGCCTCCCAAAGTGCTGGGATTACAGGCTTGAGCCCAACGGCGCCGGGCCTTGTCGACTGGAACTTTCTATGGATGGGATGGAAAATGTATGCAGGTTTCTACACTTGTCGGAATACAAGTAGGTAGGTCAGTAGCCAATTAAGTGGGGTACTGAGGCACTTAAAATGTGCCTAGCGTAACTACAGAAACTTAATTTTATTTTAATTTTTTTCACTCTGTGTCCCAGGGCTTGGAGGTACAAGTGGCGCCATTCTCGGGCTCACTGCCCACCTTTTTGCTCCTGAGATTAGGTGATTTTCTCATGGCCTTCGCTCGAGTAGGCTGGGAGACAGTGGTGTGCACCCACGATGCCGGGTTTCTATTTTTTATTTTTTTTAATTTTCAGGTAGACAGGGGTTTTCACTATGGTTGGCGGGCTGGGTCTCAAATCTGGGACCCTCTTCAAATGGATCCACTGTCTCGCTTCCCAGATGGCTGGGATTATAGGAGTTGATGCATTGCACCTGGACAAAAGAACAGAATTTTAAAATTTCTTTACTTTAATTTTAGGATTTTCAATAGGCTACATGTGGTAGGTGGTACCATTGGATTTAAGGCAACAGAGAAATTCTTCAAGGAACCAAACAATTCAGCTGCCCCTGGCCTCCATCTAAGGGAACCAAAACCCAGGTAACTGTCCACCAAGGGCAACCAATGGATAATCCAGAAGTTTTCCATAGGCAGGTGGTAACACAGGCTCTTGCTATAGGAAGAATTTGACGTTTCTTCTTCTTCCTTCTTCATTTTCCTGCCTTCATTCGCTTACTTCCTCTTTCTTTCCTTCCTTCCTTCCTCTCTTCCTTCCTCCTTCCCTCCTTCCTTTCGCTTCTTCCTTCCCTTCCTTTCTTCCTTCCTTATCCTCTTCGTCCTTTTCCTTCCTTTCCCTTCCTTCCTCATCCTTTCCCTCCTTTCTTCTCCTCTTTCTCCTTCTTCTTTTTTTCCTTTCTCTTTTCTTCCTTTCTTTCTCCGTTCCTCCTCCTCCTTCTCTTCTTCTCTCTCTCTTTCTTCTTTCTCTTTAATGTATACTTTAATAAAGTTATTAGAGTGTATAACATTGGTAAGGCTTTGGAGGGAAGGCTGAACCAAGATACTAATAGGAATATACCAAGTGTCTCATTTTCTAAATTTCTATATTTCTTTTTCGATAGTATTATTAAAGATGTTAATATTACAGTTCTTTCAACTGTCATTTTTGGATAATCTTTATTGTAAAGACCAAGTCTCTTTTCTGATGACACAGCAGTCCCATGGTTATTCAGCACTTCCACGGTTGGGATAAATTTCATTTCTTCTTTGGGATAACAAAGTTTTCTTTCTGGTATTTTCTTGAGGTAATGGTTTTATTATTTCTGCAGTTGATTCTGGGGTGAGACCCTGGGATACATCAGCAAATTTTGGTTGAGGTACTTCCCTTCAGAATGTTGTTGAAACTTACAGGAAAGAGTGAGGGTGGTAGGCCCTGCTGATCTCAAAGCTGTATGGAGTACATGTTGGTTTTAGGAGTTGTTTGTGGTTTTAGACTTGTGCTTCTGTCTAGTTCGACGGGAAGCACCCGTTATTGTCGAACCTTTTTAATGGAGAGTGTGATCGTTTTGTTGCGCATATTGGAAGAAGAGAAGAAAGGAAAGTTCCAGTACAATGGCATGGATGGAATTCAGATGCGGACCTATTGTTGGCGCTAGTGTTACGGGCGGCATTTTGTGGCTGGGCCCATTGCTATGAACGCCCTGAATACAGGGGCAGTTGCGTGGGGGCAAGATGAGCGGAAGAGATATTGGCAGCTAGATGACTGGGGCTGGCCCAGCCAGTTGCAAGCGGAGGACAGTGCGCATCTTGTTGATAGTAAATTTTCACGGGTGGTCCTAGGTTGAGGTTGCTATTTTTTGGACTTTCCCAGGAGAATGTCACCATCTTTTCTTTTTTTTTCGTTTTATTGCGTATCCTCTTCTCTTTATATTATTTTCTTCTTGATACTTTATTCTTGCTTGTTCTCTCTTTCTTTACTTTTCCTGTTTTTTTTTTTTTTATTTGAGACAGGGTTTTTTAAGATGACGGATTATGAAAAAGACATGCTCTTGATGCAATAACTTCAGACCAGCATGTTTAAGGCAGCCTGTTTGGAAAACTAGCTGTTCTTTGCGTTGGTTTTGGTTTGCTCTTTTGTCACCTCTAGGTTGGAGGTGTCATGTGATCTGGCGGATTTCTCAGCTGTCCATTTTGCAAGCTATTTGGCTGGACTCACCTGAGTTGAACTGACATCTCTGCTCAGCTCTGTAACAGGGGCGCGACAGTTAGCTGGAGTGTTTATCTAACAGGGTATGGGGCGGGCTGCTCGATCCTCGCGTCCCGGGAAGATGCTTCGGATGTTTTTTGTATATGTTATGGTCCTGTGGTAGATCGGATGACGGGTATTAGGTTCACTATGTTAGCCAGGAATTTTGCTTCGGTCGTCTGATCTTTGTTTGATCCGCCCGTCTGGACTACAGCGTTATGTTGGTGCTGCCCAAAAGGAGTGGGCTGGAGTTACTCATATGTCCGGAGGTTTGGAAGGCGTTTCCAGACTCTGGTGGCGGCGATGGTCTTAGTATAGGGAATTGGCTGGATCAAAGGAGTGTGTGCATTTTAAACTTTAGAAATCTATTGGCTGAATTGCGGCGTGCTGAAGAGAATGGTAAAAACAGCAGGCGGCGCTGGCTCTTTTTCCTTCTTTCACTTCCTTTCCACCTTCAGTCTGTGATGGCCTTCCCTTCCTTCTTCCCTGTCCTTCGGCTTCTGCCTCCTTCGCGTTCGTGCTTCCTCTCTTGTTCCTTCCTTATCGTCCTTCCTCCTTCTTTCTTTCTTTCTTCGTTTCTCTTTCTTTCTTCTTTATTTTCTCTTTTTTTCCTTCCTTCCTTCCTCTCTCTTCTTTCTTTTTCTTTCTTTCTTTCTCTCTTTCTTTCTTTCTCTCTCTCTCTCTCTTTCTTTCTCTTCTCTTCTCTTCTCCCCTTCTCTCTCTCCCTCTCCCTCTCTCTCTCTTTTTCAGACAGTGTTTTGCTCTTGTTGCCCAGGCCAGAGTGCAATGGTGCGATCTCAGCTCAGTGCAACCTCCGCCTCCTGGATTCAAGTGATTCTCCTGCCTCAGCCTCCCGAGTAGCTGGGATTACAGGCGCACGCCACCATGTCTGGCTAATTTTGAATTTTTAGTAGAGATAGGGTTTCTTCATGTTGGTCAGGTTGGTCTCGAACTCCCGACCGCAGGTAATCCACCCACCTCAGTCTCCCAAAGTGCTGGGATTACAGGTGTGAGCCACCACGCCCAGCCTGAAGATCATTTCTAACAGAATCAGAATTGCACTGATAGGAAGCATGTCAGAGATGCTGGTAGTCCTCTTGGAATCCCAGTTATTTTAGGAAGGAGCACCTGAATGATCCATGAGTGAAAAAACATATCTTTGGCTTTGAGATCAGTGGCCAGTTCCACCTGGGAAGAATTTAAGTGATGAGTTAGGTCACTGGAGGCATCCATTTGGCAACTGTGCAATGAGCCTCTACGATAGGTCAGGCTCTGGAGAAACAGAAACACACATCTGGTCCTCGCTCTTGAGGAGCCCGCAGTCTGGGGACTGATTTCTCAGTAAAGGGTGGATAGACAATGATGCTCCCTCGAAGGAGAGCCCAAGGGTGCAGCAAGGGGCTTGGAGTTTGGCT